CTGTATGTAGGAGTACATAGAGTACATAGATATATGAAACTAGTTTGTTCTTTGTTAGGTCGATTAAATTCTTTGATGAACATATATATACAACGATCGATGGTTATAATTTTGAAGGCTCACGCTTATCGGCTTGTTTCGTACAGTATGTGTGATGATCGACGATAGAGTAGAGGAAGGGTAGCAGAAATTGGAGCAGGGGAAGGCAGAACTGGAACAGGGGAAGGGTAGAATTGGGGCGCGGCAGGATCCCGCGAGGACGATTTGGATTTCTGTTCCAGTTCGGTTACAATTCCCCTTTTCTCCATCAGAAGGTTTCCCCAGCTTATATACACGCCGGTCCTCTCCACGCTGTTGCCAGACAGGCAATAGGATCACTACTCGCTATTACTCTTACAAGTGGGGCCCGCTAGGCAGCCACTACTCCTGACAGTATGTCGAAAGTACACCACAAACAGCCTGTTCGTTTGGCTGGGCTTGTTTGTTGCTGGATCGTGAAGAAGTACTGCTGGCTGGTTTTGTGTGAGAGAAGAATACTGTTCCGGCTGAAAATTTACGATCATTTACGAGGGAAAGCCCAGCCGATCAGGCTGCTGCTTCTTAATTAATTCTATAACACGCACAAGAAATTTGTACTTTCGTAAATAAATCAAGAGTTTTAAAAGTGCCTGTACAACTACCGTACGTGTTCGAAACTTTGTATCAGATTCAAAGTGGCAATGCGCATATCACTAAGTGCTTCCCCAACGCACCACCGTGTACTACTACCTCAACGCGCGTTGCAGAGAGAAAGGAGTTGCCTCCGTTGGCCCCCAGCCAATAAAGCTGAGTACTTGAGCCAGTGAAAGACATAAAACTGTTCGAGAAAAAAAAGGACATAAAGCTGTTTGCTTGCGTCAGGCCAGAGAGCTGCCTCCGTTGCGTGTTTTGAGAGCTCAATTTTTTCTCTCCTACGCGTACGGTGCTTTTGGGTGAGGCCAACAAACTTGACCGGCCGCGTTGGGGCTGCCCTAAGTAGCAGCAGTTGATGTCGTCAGCCACGGTGAATTTTTGTAGACAGAGAGAGGAAGGCCGCCGTGTTTCTTCGTCACCCCCTGTTCCTGGAATACTCGGATTTGCGGCCTGTTGTTTTTTGCCGATGAGAAATGAAGTCGTTTTCAGAGCAGCAGAGCTCTCTGTTATCTGATACTGAAAAGGCTCTCCATCGTTCACTTGGAAAGTTTTTTTTTATTTTGGAAGAGTGTTCACTTTGAAAGTTGGAATATATAGGAAGGAAGCCCAATCTATACTTCTAGAATTCTCTCTCTTTTCAGAAACAAACAAGATAACCTCCGATCTGCTTTTCTTACAAGCAAGATGGTCCGATATACTTTAGAATGCTTTACTAAAGTGTTAATAAATTAAATTCTAGAGGACCGTTGTATATACTTGTATGTGTTGAAGAAGGGCCCTAGCTAGGTCCATTGAACTTGGCGCACTCCCAAGAGATAGCACCATCGACATGGTACAAAACGGAACATGCAAACTGTTGCTGTGCTCCGTCCAAACGCAAAAGATGAATAGTGTGTCAAACCCTTTGCGAATTGCGACGCCATTTGTCGAGCCATCTTCGAACATCGACCTATCAACGGCTAAGAAATGAGGATCCTAGGATGCAGAACCAGGTCTCCCTACTGCAGGTCTGCAGCACAGTCCAGAAAGAGACGGTTCTAGGCACATAGGACCTGTTCACTTGATCATTTCTATAACTTATATGTCGGCTGATGCTATTTTATTGTGAGAGAAAAACACTGTATCATGACTGATAAGCATGGCTGATACGATCAAGCGAACATGTTATACTGTGTTGTGTAGTCCGTCTGATGTCCAGCAACGAGGACCCTCATTTGGATCTGACTAATTTTCAGTATGTTCATCAATTTTCCTCTCTTTTTTTCCAACGGTTGAAGCTTACAGTATTTTCCAATGGGATCTGTCCAATTTTCTGCTTGAATTGATATTGACGTGTAGTATATACTTGTTTTGGCGTGCCCGTGCCGGCCGCTTCAGTTCCTAGCTTAGTCGCTGGCTGGTGGCTGCTACCATGATTTATATGGTGCTCAAGGCTTTGCGTCTCAATCCAATTTGCCCGTTGACAAACCATCGTCTCAAGAGAATTCTAATCACATGCCCAACGTCATGTTGGTATGAAACATGTTTCACTGCACAACCTCAAAGACGTTTGTAACGAGAGATGGCCTTCTTATAAATAAAAAATAAACAGAGAGAGAGATGATGGTCTAAGCCTAACCAAATGCTCTCTTAAGTTATCAGAGAAATTCTCAACCACGCGCATTACAGAGCGTCAGAGCGTGATTTGTGGACGACATCTTAATAAATCGCTTACCGGTCACCTCTCCCCATGCGGACGGGATCTACAGAGTACATACAGAGCGTAGTTTGTGGACGCATGGAGGCGTCTGTTGTCCAATAGAAAGCACCAGTGCGACACTGCTGCATAGGACATTTTTCCATTGTTCAACCTATTTGTTTTCTGCTGTAACAGTATAGCAGCCTGCACCGCAATCGCCTAAGAAGAAGAGTTTTAGACAGAGCACTGCAATTCTAGGAGGACGGGGATCATTGCCGTGAATCTCACAAATAACTCTAAAAGGCCGTTTGGATCCCTTTATTTTAGAGGATTTGAAATAGACTTACTAGATTAGGCTATTTGGCTTATAATTTGATATTCTATAATTTTCTCAAGCTCACGAATAAGCCTATCTTAAATTCATTGAGTGAGAGATGGAAATGGATTCTATAGAATACTATGTAATAATTCTACTCTCCAATTTATAGCACACTCTTTAACTCACTTTCCTATAATAGAAATGCAACATATAAGTACGTCACTTATATGCCTAACAATAGATATATAAATATATTCTATATACAACTATATTAACTTAATTAATCTATGTCTAAATTGTAATTATTAGAATGAATTCAATTCTAAGAATCAAGCAGGCCAGCGTAGTTTTGTTGTTTGTGTTGATTGTCATTGCTGCAAAAGTCTTGGCCTCATTATTGTGGCAAAGACTTAACCTATACTACTAATAGAAATATATAGTGAAACGTTTTTCAAGTCAATTGACTTTTCCATCCAAGTTAATTGATCCACAAAGGAACGATAGCAATGCAATCTGGGCCCGTGTGGCAACCACCAACTTCGCAGTCTGCCGTTTTCTTGGCCTTGGCCGCCCTTTTTTGATCAAAGTTGTTGAACCTCACGTGCCCCATGCATCTTCTTCTTCAAGTTGTAGCCTCTAGCTGTGAAGATTCTCGTTCAAGTTGCAGCCTGTCTTAAGAGATTCTTGTTCTTCCTCCACCCGCAGTGTCACTTCGCGTGGAAACTGGAAACAGGACAGCAGCCTCCTCCAGATGCAGACAGTTGATTAGTTAATATGAAAAATCCAGTTTAACTACATTACAGAGCCCAGTAATGAATGCTACAAGTGGCTAAACGACTAGAGGTATTAATAATATTCAGTTAAGTATGTATGAGTATTAATTAGTTACAGAAAAACTGGTTAGCTTGTCCATATTTAAAAATGAGGTATCTTAGGTATTACGAGTACTAATAAGTCATACATAATTATTGCTAAGTGTATTTACCAATAATAATTAGCTGTGTACCTTCCCAAGATGGTAGAGGCTAGAAACCTTTTTCTATTATCTAAAAAATTAGCAATGATAATTTATATCTAAAGAGGCAACTTACATAGTTATTGCCACAAGGTATTAAAATTATTTAAAATAAATTGTTAGTTTCCCTAGTATGTGATTCGTTAAGGAACCATTTTAATTGCAAAAACATGGAAATAGAAACGTACCGCCCATGCATGTGGCACACAATATATATGTTTCCTTTGAGTTAGTTTAATATATGAACCAGAAGCACATATATATAGGAATATGGGTATACATGAAGATTTAATAGGGATTATTTTAGTTTATTTTTTAATAAAATGGAGGTGGATATTTAGAGAGAAAAAAGGTCATCACATAACTATTATTGTATTAGCTTCTTTCAAATTGCTCGCCGGATGTTTTTTTTTATTTTACACATTATTTTAAATAAAAAAATAGGATCTATTTTGTTTCTAGCGGTGGTCAAGATTAACGTGTTTCTCAAAAGGAGTTCATTTTCCCATCTCATTCCACTTCATCCAATCAACAAAACCACACTCCAATCTGCCATTGGTCTACCAAGCATGGAGGAGGAAATTGAGAGATTGTGACCGGGTTGACCGTAGTACCCACCATTCCGTCCGCGTCATTGACTGACGGCTAGAACAATCGCAAAGCCTCCTCCGAACACTTGGTACGTGAAGAACCGGTGGTGCATCATCTGAGCCGAGCGCTACTAACGGTGCATCTTTACAAGTTACTTACTAGCTATAATACGTCTTGCTTTGTTAGCTTGTTCCATTCCATCCGCGGTCCACGGACGAACAGTTGCTAACAGTAATAGCTAGCCTGCTGAGGTGTAGAAAACGGCAGTTCATCATCATCTTTGGTCTCGATCGAAAGCCGTCGTCAGCGTGGTCGTGCATGCGTGCAAAGCTTTTGCACGAGTCGACAAAGACCTGCTCTCCAATCCAATGCAATTTTTTCTTTGCGCAACCAGCAGCATCTAAAAGCCTTCGCCCTATTTTTTTCTCACAACAAAACAGCATCAGTCGGCTTATCACTTATCAGCCATAGAAACCGTCAGGCGTCACCTTTCCTTTCCTTCTCTCTATGTAAACGCTGTGCCGTGCCCATCACCCAACTACACGGTGCCATTATACTGCTGCTACGACGAGGTAACTGCACGGTGCGTTGCGTTCTGTCACAAGAGGCGCGCGCGCACGCACCATATATACATGGCGAAGATGCTGTGGAGAAAGCAGCAGGCGGCACCGAGCAAGCAGGGCTCGGCGTCCTCGCCGGTCCGCGCTGGCGGCGACGGGGCGGCGATGCCGAGAGGGTATGTGCCCATGCGGCTCGCTGGCGACGGCGGCGAGGAGGACGAGCATGAGACTGTCCTGGTGCCGGTGGCGCTGCTCAGGGAGCCCCGCATGGTGGAGCTGCTGGAGATGGCCGAGCGGCAGTACGGGTACGGCCAGCCCGGCGTGCTGCGGATCCCCTGTGACGCCCGGTGCTTCGAGCAGCTCATGGGTCTGGAGTGCATGGCCAGGTAGACAGACGGGGGTAACCTACAGGGGTGTGTGGTAGTAGTTCTAAAATTTGTCATGTAGTACAAATGCGTGCACCTCAGACGACTAAGAAGAATAACTGTTCATCGACTGATTACCCTGTAATAGGCCTTGCAGATGATGCCTGCAACCATTGGCTTAGCAAATTAAAGCCGTTTGTGTTGCTGCTTTAACTTTGGTGCTGTTTGGTTCGGGGCTTTTGGTTTGTAATCGGTTCCCAGCGCCAATTGATCCCCTAGCTATGTGTTTGATTGGACTAATCCCTGTTCCCTTAAACTTACCGGCCTGTCTTATTAGCCATTGTACAGTGTTTTTCTCTCACAATAAATCAGCGAATAGTACTTTTCATATAGGTGAACAGGGCTGCCGTAATCGATCACGTCAGGCAAATACCAGCCCATGCTCATACAATCTATTTACCACTCACCATCCGACGTTACAGTCGGGAATGAAGTAGATGATAAGTGTTACACAGTTACAGTCTGTAACACTTCATTACAGTACGGGTCCCTAAAAAAAGTGATACAGTACGGAGCGCCGGATTAGATTTATTTATACGAAAAAAGCGTGTAAAAAATTTGGATTCTGGGCTAGGCCAAACTTCCCGAGTGTGCCAACGCGGGCTTTTTGTTCTCGACGACTCGCTGGGCCAAGTTGGAGACAGGACGCCCAACTTGCGCCTCATATACGCGGGCCGGCCGGCTTTCTGCTATGCGCCGCAGCACGCCAAGGGGGATGCCGGCCTCGGCTCGACCAACCTGGCCTATGGGCAAGCGTTTCTTCCGCCTGGGCTCCCAGATCGTCGACCAGCAATTCGCCGCCCAGCGAAGAAGCTGGGGGGCCTGTCGCTCAAAACGCCCGTAGACGGCCAGTTCGTCCAGGAATACTGAAGTGCTACAAGGAGTACGTACGCCCGTGCTGCGGCGTGTTTAAGGCCCGCTGAGCCGGCACACGAACAGCACGAACGATTGCGCAATCAAGGCGAGCACGGGGGGTACGGTCCCGCTCGGGTCGTATCTGCAGGCATGCTCGTACGACGTGAACAAACGGTAATGCCTGCCTCTGCCTGCCGGACCTCCAATAACATCACGCGCGGCGCGGCGGCCTGCGCATGCTGCGCGCAATAAGAGAAAATTCCTTCGTTGCCACTTAAAACTACAACCATCTCTTTATTACCATCCAAAAATATATTATCCCTTGATTGCCATCCATTTAGATTTTTTCTTCCCTTGGTTGCCATTCCCGTCCATTCATACGTAACGACGTCACCTACCCAGTCAATCGGCTGTAGGCACCACCGTTAGTCCCCGACCCCTCACGAATCGGAGCCGACGGCAGGGAAATTCGCTACCATGCATCACGTTCGGTGTGCCGCGTGGAGGCTCGACAACCAGGGCGCCAAGGGCTCGCCGGCCTCCGACACGACGGGATTCGCCTACAAAGTGCGGCGAGCCAAGATGGCAATGCGCTTAGAAAAGCCCCCTTGGCCGCATAAGTCCGCTTAGGGTCGCCCGAAGCCACCACAGCCACCGCCGGCGTGGCGTCGCGCGCCGCCGCCGCCAGCCGTGTCTCACCAAGGTCCGAGCGCCCGCATGGTTGTAGGGGTTTTGGCGCCATTGCCGACGCTGCTGCCACCACCGTCTCGTCCTCATTGTGGGTCCGTGAGACGCTCGTGGAAGATGCATGCCGCCGCTTCGCCCGTCGACCACAGGGAGCTCCCAAGACCGCCTCGCTGGCGGCGCGAGCACCTGCAGACCACCCTCGTGCCGCCCCGGCCGAGCCCGCCGCCATCGCTTTCCGCAACTTGTACCTCCCTCGGGCGTCGCCTCTGGTCTTGCGTGCTGCTTGTGCTGCCCATGTGTCTTCGTGCGCCTCAAGCTGACTATGCGATCTTGTGCTCTGACGCTGATCGCGATCAGGCAGCCCAGCGCTCACATGGCCAACTCGCCGCCCTCAAGAGACGCTTCTTTGTAGCCACCATGGCGAAGAATCGCGCGCATGCCGCGCTTCTGACCAACTCTGCTGGCGGCTCTCGCGTCTTCCACGCTGTTGCGCCACACTACCCGTGGCCCCACTCGACTCCGCGCCTTCCACATGCGCTCCAGGGCTTTCTGCACGCCTGCGTCGGCCACTTGCCTGACTCCCACCGGCGGCGGCGGCTCCCTGGTGTTGGGCGTGGGGGAGAAGAGGAGTCGGCGAGGCGGATCACGACAGCGCCGCCGTCGACCACACGGAGCTCCCCCGCCGGTCGGCCTTGCCGCCTTCACCACAGAGATCACGCCTGGTCATGGCGGTGGCCATTGGGCCATCTCGCCTCGCCGGTGAACGCGGCAGGAGGCGAAAGACGAGCTCCACTCCGGTCGCTGAGCCGCCGCCGCCGCTGGCGGGCGAAGCTCACCTCATGCTTGGCGGGCACATAGCCACCACACAAGGAGGGGAAGGTGAGAAGATGGTGGGAGGAAGGGGATGATCGTGTGGGCCCGCATGTCATTGAGTGGGGGAGAGGGAATTTGACACCGTGATCCAGAAATTTGACAGAATGGCAACCAGGGAAAGCAGAAACGTAAACGAATGGTAATGAAGGAAAGATGTATTTTTGGATGGCAATTAAAGGATTGCTATAAGTTACGGTGGCAACCAAGGAATTTTCTCGCGCAATAACGCCCCCCCGCTGCGGCAGAAAACGGCAGCCGGCCGGCAGGGCTCGAACGCCTCTCTTTCCGCGACCACGGACACCCATCGCCATCACGCCATTAACTCGCATTCACGCCGGTCACAGGCCGGAGGAGAGTACTCCGTACTCCTACTACTCTGCTCCGACGACGTGCCGCAGGGGAGGGGCTCATCAAGGCGGCTGCAGCTGCGGCCGCGACGTCAACTCCCTGCCCTGGCATTAAACGGCCGGCCGCAGGAAACGCGAACGCGGAACGCCGAGCACTTGGCCCCGCCCACATCATCACCCGCTGCTGCGACCGACGGCGACTACGCGATGCGCGTGCAATCAATGCGAGGCGCACATGGACGGCGGCGACCGGCGAAGGCACATCCAAACTTGCAATCTGCAAACGTCACCACCACCAACGGGCTCGAGCTCGAAACTGATGAACATGCTTGATCGAGAAATAGGAGCTTGGAGCTTTGGCACCGTTCGCTCCGAGGAATTTGAAGGTATCCGAAGAAATTTGTGACAGAATAAGCAGTGAATTTCAGCCGTAAACAGTGAATTCCGGCTGATCCGCCATAAATTTCCTGACATAACCGAGAGGGAGGGGAGGGCATGCATTTCTGTTTCAGTTAAACGGAATCCGGACCAAAAAATGGCGCCTCCCCGATGTACCCTACCCAACTCGGTCCGTGGATCTGGATCATCACATTACACGAGCCTAATTTACGACGTACGTACAGTAGGAGACGGCAGCCGATCCATCTTGCAAGGCTACGCCATGGCTAAACAACAAGCTAGGTGCCGAGGTAGCCGACGTTGAGGTCGATCCGCGGCTTCTTGCTGACGACCGGCGCCGGCGACGGCGGCGGCGGGGCCGGGACGTGGGACTCGCAACGAGGGCACCGCGGGTCGCTCCGGGAGATGAGCACGTACAGGAAGCACCTGGGGCACGCCGCGGCCACCATCCCTCCGCCGACGCCGCCGGAGGGCGAGTCGCAGCCGTCGCCCTGCTCCACGCCGCCGCCGCCGCTGCTGTCGCCGCCGCGGCGCTTCACGGAGGACGTGGTCACGGACGACGACGACGGGGACGCGCCCGCGCCGCTGTGCTGCTGCTGCTGGTGGCCGTGGTGCGGGTGGGGGGACTGCTGCTGCTTGCCGCGCTCGAACCGCTCCAGCGCCGTCTTCACCTTCTCGATCGTGCACACGCTGTGGTACGTCGTCGTGGCGCCGCCCACGGAGGCCGAGGGGGCGCCCGCCGCGTTCGGCGAGGGCGCGGCCGCCGGGGCCGTCGTCACCGCGCAGGGCTTCGTGGCGGCGGCGGCGACCGGGAACAGGTTGAGGTCCCTTGGCGTTGCCGGGCACGCGTGCTTCTGCTGGGACACCCACCCGTGCTGCACGTGGCCACACAAAAACATTAGCTTCGTTTCTCAGATATACGAATATAAGCTAATGCAGCTACTGATGCTGGTATTTCTTGTAAACAAGTCTACTAATAAATAAAGCACAAAAGGACAGCATGTGCAAGTACAGGATTTTTTTTTTCGTATAGTAAATTTTAATTCGGGGAACTCTAGTCGTCGCGTATACTAGTTTAGTGGGAATGTTCAAATGATTCTGGTAGAGCAACTGTTTCATATATAAAGTTCAGAGTTTCAGAGAGGCTCTAATTCTAATCACAAGGGAATGGAATTTGGACTTGAAGAACAAATGACTTTTAAAATCAAATTAGGAAACCACTTGGAACTCTCTTGGAGGCCTCGGACTAGACTTCTCTAATCTCCACGTTGGGGAAAGCGAGGATTTTTTTCCTCCCGAAAAAACTTAAGAACACCAAGGTCAAGGTGCGGTCTTTCAATTCAATCAAACATCTGTTGCTACTAATTTGAAAATTCAACCGCGCAAGCAGGGCTGATCCGAAGCCCGAAGGCAACAACAGAGGCGGAAGCAGAGGAAGAGAGAGAGAGAGAGGCTTTCAAAATTCAAGCACGCAAGCACAGTACGGGGCCGAGGGGCTCACCACGGCGTCATTCCTGGTGGACGCGTCCCTGGCGTCGTCGGAGCCGGCGCACCCGCCGAGGAAGTCCCTGGTGACGAGCTCCGCCGCCCTCCCGCCGCTGGCTCCCCGCGCCATGAACCCTAGCGCCTCGGCCGCCATCTCTCTTCTCGTTCCTTCTACCGCAGCATGCAGCGACGGACGGTTGCGCCTTGGCGGTAGGCCGGTAGCAGCTGTCCACGAACGAACGCCGCTGAGGCAGCCCAGCTCAGGCTCAAGCTCAAGCGCGCGCAGGCAGAGGCCAGGGGAAGGAGGACGCACTTGCTGCTCGCGCTCGCGCTCGCGCAGGAGGAGGGACGCAGGAGGGAATGATAAAAAGGGTCTGGGTTTGGAGGCACCAGACACGTATGGGCGCGGCATTAATTAAGGTGTTGGAAAGGAGATGCATGAGGACAAGATGTGCAATGAATGCGAGCGGGGTAGGCCGTGGAGGGCCGCATTGATGGCAGATGGCGCCCGCTGTGTCTGTGTGATGGGGATGGACCAGCCTACGCTACCCACTGCTGCTGCTCTCACTGCCTACTCCCCAGTCGTCCCCTACCCCCGCCTAGTACTCTCACACAGTACGGTCCAGTATCATCTCCTTCTACATTCCCCTCGGCTCGTCGTGTACGCGTAGCATGAGCGGCGCCGGGAGGAGGGGGAGGAGGTGAGGTGCCGTATGGAACTGGTCGTACCGTACAGCGCCACGCTAGCACGACTTGCGGGTGGCGTGGGGATCACGCGGGACCCACGCCCCGAGATCTTCTTTGGGATCGGTAAACAATTGACACACTAAAAAATTGAATGAGACAACGGACGAATAGTCATTTTCTTATTATTACTGGGACGCATACCATGTATTTCAATCAGACCTAAGCAAATTGAGTCCGGTCCAAGCATGACGGATTTTGGCTCACCCACAAACCTCAGTGGACAGACCCTGCTGTCTAGAAAAATTCTTTCGCCTTGTTTAGTTGGACTCTAAAGTCTAAAAAGTTGCTACAGTATCTGTCACATCGAATATTTGCGGCCCGTGCATAGAGCATTAAAGGTAGACGAAAATAAAAACTAATTGCACAGTTTGGTGGGAAATTACGAGAGGAACGTTTTGAGCATAATTAGTCCATGTTTGAATACTATTTGTTAAATAAAAACGAACGTGCTACAGTAGCCCCAAAATCCAAATTCACCCAACTAAACAAGGGCTTTGTTAACCTGAGCGGATATGATGATTTAACGGTTTTTTTATTCTTGAATGAATTTATTGCGCTTCCTCGGACATCTTAGCTTTGCTCATTTCTCGCTCATTCCCCTATGGGACACCCTAGGCCCAGCGAATCCCCCGTCGAGGGTTCGGAGGCATAGTGAAATCCACACATATATTTTCTTGCTCCCATTTAAAAACACACGCACCCAAACAAGTCCGAAAAATTCCAACAAAACATAAAAAACTAGGTGGCGCAAACTTCTATGTTTATACAACATTTGAGATGCAACAAAAATCTGCGCAAAGAGATAAAAATGTGAAATCAACAATTGAATAGTTGTGCGTTTTGGATCACACGTAAACAGTACAACCGTAACTATTCAAGTGTTGGTTTCACCTTCTTTTGATCTCATTGTAACGATTTTTGTTATATCTTTTTTGGTCCTTACATGCACTCACCCAGTTTATACAGTGCAGCTCCAAGGAAGCAACGGAATAGGTAAAACATAAAGAATCTAGAACCTCGGATTCAACATGTTGATGAAGCTAAGGCCCTGTTTGTTCCGCGACCGCGGTGTGTTTGAGCCCAATAAGCGAAAAAAGCCCGCCAAATGTCGCAGAACCGTCCGAAATAGCACGCTTCCGGAGGCGCCCGTCTTCCACCAGACACTAAGCATCCCGAAAACAAGCTACATCGGACGGTTCCGTCGAGCACACCCTAAGAGAGAACTCGAACAATCCACGTTTTCCTCCAGGATCCAATAATAAGAACGAGTTTATAATACTTAGTCTATTTCATACATCAGGAGTTCTCAAAAATATATTATTACAATACCAAGTTCAGAGTGCGGAATTTAAACAACAGAATTGAAATAAACTTCTAACGATAAGATACAAGGATCCGTCTATGCCCACCAGAAGAATCCTCCACACAACAGCTACTCCTCAAGTTGCACCTGCAATAGGGGTAATAAACCCTGAGTACACAAGGTACTCACAAGACTTACCCGACTAGTGGGAATAATTTTCCGACCCCAAAGGATATGATAAGCTTTATGGTTTGCTGGGTTTTGCTTTTTGCAAAAAGCAATACTAGTAGTGAATCCTTATGTATGTGTTTTATTAGCAGTCATGATTAGTTCATTAGCTAACCATTCTATATAAGCACATGTTCTACTTTCAAGCAGGAGTTAGAGCAATCAGATCAATTTCACCACCTTTCATCTTCCAGTTATTACTACGGTGCTAAATCGTAGACAAGTCGTATCAGATTACATGGCGATTCGTGAATCAATGTGCCTAGTTGGGTACCCCGAAACACACGCCCCGCTTGTACACCAGGCACAAGCAGGACCAACCCATCACTCTCCTGTCAAGTGGTTCAGGTCCCCATCCAAACTTAGACTCCAAGCCCCCACACCTGAGTCCCGAACTTAGTGTGGTGTTTAGACCTTTACCATCCTCGCCACCAATCAGCCGGAACCCACGACAAGAGAGCAACGAGCCTTCCCTGCTCCCATAAGCAAGTATGTGCTTAGGATAATAAGTCTGTGACCTGACTAGAATCCAATGCAACGGCCGGTCCTTAACCGACATGGACAAAGAAAACAGTGTAACTAAGTTATGCCCCGTTGGCAGCGGGACACAACCTCTTACACCCACCAATACCCATACCATATCCATGCCCGATCTCCATTTCTTTTCACCATTTTATCATGAGTGATAATAATAATCACTTATTATGAGTTACAGCAGGTTACTCACGCTACCAATAGCCTAAGCATAGCAGCTACTCGACCTATGCTAATAGGACTCATAGGTAGGTTATCTATGCATTTAGTTTGCATAAAATGCCTGTAACGTAAATGCACATCACACACACACACACACACACACACACACACATATATATATATATATCCAGTGATAATTCAAAATAAGGGTTATGCACCGGGGCTTGCCTTAGGCAGGCGCGGTGTTAGCTCAGTCAGTCAGTGGCGGCTCTGGGACCTCCTCCTACACGAGGATCTCCTCCTCGTACTCTTCAATCACCTCCTCGTACTCCTGCTCGATCGTGGAGGGGCATACTACTCGCAGAGCCGGCCCGTCGTGCGGCTGCTGCATGGCAAGCAGCAGCAGCTGGGCTCGATGCGGCGGTCTTTGGAGTTCTTCCCGACCATGGCGACGCCGACGTGAAGGCGCACAAAGGCCGGCAAGGGCACGCCGAAAGTCGCGCATCCGCCTCGGCCGAAGTTATACAATGACGAGATGTCGCGCCGCCGCCCAAGTGCTCCCCCGTCTTCCACCCGGACTACATCGACACGTGGCTCGCCTCACGCCACGCCGCCGCTCGCTGCGCGACAAACTCGTCGCCCCGAACGCCAACGCCCGCAGTCGACGACGCCCGAAGCCGAAGGCGACTTCGCGCAGAGCTATCGTCGCCCATGTCGCGTCGGCGGCCATCGCTATCGCGGTGCTAACGGTGGTCATTTTTGGACGGACCTCCCTCCTCCCTCCGGCCGTTCAAGTGGATACGGGAGCTCGAACACAGTCGGTGGTCCGCCGAGAACGCCGCCATGGATGAAAGTGTTAGAAGGTCCGGGATGAGCGCGCGCATGGCGAAGCATTTGTCTTGAATATGCGCTGCTAACAAGAAGCTACGTCGAAAATAGAAAGCGGAAAACTATCCTACTATTTACAATCCGGACAATGAAGCTTATCTTCACGGGAAGGTGGGGAGCGGGAGGAGGTGATGACAATCGGGGCCACGGGCGAGTGCTAAGGACTCGCCATTGTTGTGCTGAGCGGCGTTTTGGACCACCCGTCTTAAGCGCGCGCGCTGCCCAAAGACGCACTGGCGATCGGCGGCGCTGCGTGTTCGTGTCAAAAAGACGCAAGACAGCGTGTCCGCCCACGACATGTTCTGCATCGTGGCCATGGTCGTCGCACCAGAACCGTTCGCCGCGCAGCCGCCGGCGCCCAAGGTCTTGGTGAACCCGTCCGAGCGCGGCATTGGCAGCGTCGATGAAGCCTAACCCAGGCGGGCACCGGCAGTCAGGCCGAGGATGGGTACTGAAGCTCTGATTCGCCATGGGCGGAATCCCTTGACGAGCCGCAGGCGGTGAAGGGGCGAACACGGTTGTCTTATAATCCATACTTTTTAAGCTTATTTTTTCAGTCAAACCGTGTTTTTCTCTCACAACAAATCAGACGGAACAGTATTTCGATTTGTTTTTTCGGCGAAGCGAACGGAGCCGGAGTCGCCTCGTGCCAGGGCCAAGCTGCACAAGCGTGAGCGCGACCTCCCCGCTGCCTCGCATCTCACGCAGTCACGCGTGCCTGCATAGCTGTCTCGCTCACGGCCTCTTGCAGACTCAGTCCTTCCGTGAGCCGTCGTCGCCGCCACTCGCATGCTGATCGCAGCAGTGTCGATGTCCGTGAGCGGGAGAGCCGACGGCCGCGTCGTGCTCTGGCCGATCCTGCCCCTTTGCATGTGAAGGAAGGGTAAACTTGCAAAAAGAAAAATAAATATAGGAGGGTTTCTACATATATAAATATAAAACAAGGGGTATGGGACATGCGGTGAATCACTTAGAAAGCTCAAAGACTCGAATACAGTTTGAAAGTTGAATGCCATATACGACACTTATGAAAAGTTAATGAACCTATCACACATTTTGCTCAGATTTAATAAACGGGTGACCCCAGTAGCGATCAATATCGGTGCATCAAAGCAGAAAGCAGCGGCGCTGGGCTCTTCTGCTGCGGCGACGAGTTTAATGAGGCGAAGCGAGCATGGGCGCTGGTGGGCGATTGCCATCATCGGATCGCTTCGGTCGTCGACACGCACACGATTCTTTGGGCGCAATGACAACTCATAAAAAGCCCGTTAATTTGGTTTGGATGCCGGGCCGGCGGGTTTCTGATCACGAAATCACTTTATTCACATCCCGCCGTAAAGCGATATTTTTCTCTCACAACAATCGGCCGTATCAAAGATTTTTTGATCCCGCGAACGTGCCCAAAGGCGAGGGCGATGCGTGGCGGGCGGCGGTGGGCGGTGGTGGCGCAGACGAGATGGGTGGTCAGTCACGGACTCACGGCCACCGTGCCTCGTATATAGATTGCAGTGAAGAGGAGGCCCGGCCAGGAAGCGCGGCCGAACGGGAATTTTAAGACGTTTAGTTCATTCAAATTTCAGAATTTGGCACTATGCAAAAAGAAGATTTCCCGTCACATCAAACTTGCGGTACATGTATGGAGTACTAAATGTTGACGAAATCAAAAACTAATTACACAGTTTAGTTGTACTTTGCGAGACGAATGTTTTGAGCCTAATTAGTCAACGATTGGACAATTATTACCAAATAAAAATAAATCGCTATACTACGCAACAGTACCGCAACAACAGTGCCGCGAATTTGGACGGCGCCAAATCTGGGGCCGAACTAAACGCGGCCTAAAACAGGCGCAGCCGGCAGCGGCGTTAATTCGGCTATGGGGCCCCCTCCGGAGGCACTTGCGTCTCCGCAAAGCAATCATGCGATCTGTGTACGTAAAAAAATTGCATTCATGCGTGGCGGCTGGCTGCTGAGGTCAGATCATTGCTAGGTGGGCCTGGGCCCTGGGAGTGGCAGCAGCTCGGCCTCGTTTAGATGAGGTTAGAAATCAGTATTTGGTATTATAGCACTTACGTTTGTATTTGATAATTATTGTCCAATCATAGTCTAACTAGGCTTAAAAGATTCGTCTCATAATTTATAATCAAACTGTGTAATTAATTATTTTTTTATCTACATTTAATACTCCATGCATGTGTCAAAGATTTGATGTGACGGAGAGAGTGTGGAAAATCGGCGCGCATCGAGGGCTATCCTTTCCAGGTCAGTTTCGGTAGCTGTGGGGTGGGACGGTCCATCAATCAGGTAGGCTAACAATAGCATGCAGCCTGTATGGATTATCAACGCGAGCCAGAGCCGAGAGGTGCAAGCTACCCAATCAATGCAATGTGTCAACACTAGTGTGGGTGGAAATGGAACACTGGTGTTAGGATAGGAGGGGGAGGAGAGCAGCTTGGGGAGAAGGAAGAACAGCACGAGGGATGAGTGCTTGGGAGGATTCAGTGTTTACAAGTTTTTCGTTATTCCTCTCTCTTCTCCTCACTGATTACATATAGCTCGACGTCCTGTCTTGGGCCGAAGCTGGTTCCTCCACGAGCCGGCGCTCTCCTGGGCTCGACGGCTCGGGCAGCTCATCTTCTGCTGGCGCTTCTTCTGTTGTTGACGGCAGTAGTGCTGGAGAAGGGCTGCTGACAACTGGGTAGTCAGCAGAGGGCATAACTAGTTGCTAGGCCGTTACTGTCTTCTACGCCGCGAAGAGACATTTTTTTTTAATAAAGATAGATTAGCACACATGGCAAAAGAGTTTAGGATACTCCTAACATAAAACTACCGATAGCTCTCATAATATTGATAGGCTGCCATACAAGTAGTTTAATAACAAAAGAGAGAGGAACAGGAGGAAATCATTTTCACCCTAAGAAACGAATTCGGCTCGACGTGTGACGAGGCAAGACACAGTGATTTGGTGTAGGGATAGAGTCTGTTTCGTTTCTTCCACACCGTGGCATGCATCCGCACTCGGTTAGACGGTCTCCACCCAAACCTAAAATGGGTAGTAAGAGATTTAAAATTAGCCTCCAACAGAGTACCTATACAGGAGACCTATTTTGGGTTGCCTGAGAGGCACAACCCAAATATGGGCTTCCTCTCTCCTGGAAACCCATTTGCAGAAATGATTCTCTTTTAGATCCTGTTGTTGGAGAAGATGCCGAATATGTATTGAACCTTTTGCCTGTAGCGCTACCTAAAGAACGAATGTGTCTTGTATTTTGGGTGTTGTTGTTGAAGATAGCCTTAGCCCTTCACCAATAGCCCTGCTTTGCGCATGTATGTGGTCGCTGCTCCCACACTTGCACTCGCCGCCATGCACTCACAACCCCCCCGGACGTTCGTGCTATCCGCCATTGCGCACTCGCCACCATGCACACACTCGCCAGGCATGTTTTGGGAGAAGGGCAAGGAAGAGGAAACGAGAGTGTTGTCGATTGAGAGACAAAATGGGGAAGAGAAAAGGAGAGTGCTGTTGATTGGTTAGATTTGGTTTAGGTTCCACCAAACAAATGTATGGGTTGGGTGTAGTTTATAGCAGTGACGAAGCCAAGAAAAAATTATAGGTGCGGCGAGTTTTAACACGAAGATGAACGAAAAAGCTTATGGTCCAAATCACACCGTATTCACATACTACGATTGCACAAATTATAGAGAAAAAGCTAGACTCACAAATTATGATGAAAAGGTGGATGAACAACACAAGATATTACATCAACTTTGCAGAATAAATTAATAGTTTGCTCCTTCGCTACCTCACTCCCCTCCCCCTCCTTGCATCCCTACTTCGCTAGCTGCCTAGCTCCTGCTCCTCGGTGGCCAGTGGGTCACTCCTGGCGGTGGGCGGATATCCGGACGAGAAGTGGGATGAGAGTGGGCTGGCGGTGGCCGGTCAGCGGGGTAGCTCCGTCGCTGGTTTATAGGATATGAAAACTACAAGTTGGTTTTAGCTAGGTCTTGTTTTACACGTTGGATATGAAAACTACAAGTTGAATTTACATATTCATCTCTGTTCAAGCTAGGTCTTGTTTGACTGCACTAGCTCCTCGCCTAGTCCGCCCGTGCTCACTCTCACCATTTGTCTCCATGGAGGCAAGGAGATAAGCGCGGAAGAGAGAGGACGATAAATGACTGAATAAAAAATTTAGTATGTGCCACACAAAAAAAAATAAAATGTAATAATTACTCCTTTGTTCCAAAAATAAAATAAAATGTTTTTTCTCAATAAATCAAACAATTCTAAATTTATAAAATACAATATCAATATTTGTATCCTCACATAAGTTTATTATAAAATATATTTCATAGTGAATTTAGTGATATGGATTATGTATATTAAATCAAATGATTTTATATAGATCGTTTAATTTTGGAAAGCGAAGTTTACATTTTTCTTTTTCAAGTGGAGGAGGAGTATAGTTTTAGAGTTGAGACTGCGCTTGTGTAATAACCGAACCATTTCCACGACCCTGAAGCACTTGCGCCCTCGAGCCGTGAGGGCTCGTGACGCATGTACTGTACGTGTAGTCCTGGAGCCACGAGGGTTCGTAACGTGGATGCAGGTGTATTAACGACCCCTTAGCCGTGGTACTTTGACTGCTGTCCGCCATGGCATACCAAAGGGGTCCGCCCGGCCGGGTGAACGCCACGCACTACCCGATGGCCGGCCGGCCGGACGCCGTTGTCCAGGGTAGCCAGAACAGCAGCGGTGCCGTGGGCGATCCTGGCTGATGCTGTTTCGTTGTGAAAAAAAAAACACTATATCACAGCTGATAAGCATGACTAATACGATCACATGCCAATCTATTACCTAGTCGGTCGGCCTGCGTGCCATTTTTTTTTTGCAAGCCACGGCCATCCAACTCGCCATCAATACTTTAGCCGTCGCAAAAGGAAACCAGCCTCCAGTACAAGATTGCCATCCCTGTTGAGGCTGGTGTGGCTAAACTATCTTTCCGTACGTGAGGCTGACGCCCAGGACCGTACTTGTTCAGGTTTGTGTTGCTCGCGAACTCCGTTCCTTTATCCTCCTTTCATAAATTCAAAAAGTTCACAATATCAAGCTCTTAAATGTACCTTTTATTTTTGCTAATAAAATAAAGGCAATTTTTGGTGTGGGACATCGCGAAAACAACAAATTGGGTGCAACACACCACCAACACTTGCTTTTGCTGAGTACCATTATGAAATCGCGAATGTTTGCCGGTGGACACCGCCTCCATTAAAATAAACAAAAACAGCAATCGGGAGAGAGAAAGCACAGTAAAGAGACGTTTTTACCCCTGCCGGCCTGAGTCCTATCATTTAGGTGGTCCGGTTGGACCAGCTCGGCTCGGCCCCGGTCGTCTTCTTCCTTCCCCCGTTCTCGTTCTCGTCAGTCTCTCTCCCCATCCTCATTCCCCATCTCGACGAACCCTAGCTTCGAGCCATGGCATCGAGCTCGCATTCCACACTGTTCGGCGCGCCGCACCCAGCTTCGTCGTCGCTCGACCCCTACAGAGACCAAGCTGGATTCTTGCCCTTGGTTCCTTGCCACAAGTGCGGAACCGTTTTCATCGGGCGCGTGTCGCAGAAGCCTGGCAGCAAGGGGAAGAGGTTTTACAAGTGTCCACTGCTTGAGCATGTAAGTGGTCGTTGACTTCTGATCTGGTTTTGAGGAGATGCGCATTTTTTTGATTTTTCATCTCTTGTTTGCCAGACCGACTTTGCGTGTGGAGTGTACTACTTTGAGGAACAGTATATCAATTACTTGGTCGCCAAAGGCGTTCTTCCTCGCGCTTGTAGTCAGGTTCGAGTTCAGGGTGCCATGGCGCTTGAGGTGATGAGGGAAGGCAATGACAAGGAGAAGGCCTACCAAGGATTCGAGTTCTTCCTCGCACTTGTAGTCAGGTTCGAGTTCAGACTGTGGGGAAGAGACGGCGGTGTGGGCGGCAGGAGACGGCGGCGTGGTTGGCTGGAGACGGCGACGCTGCGGGAGATTGGAGACGCCGGCGCTGCGGGAGACTGGAGACGCCGCCGGCTAGGGTTGGATAGAGCACAGGGTCTGGCTCGACCAAGTAGTGGTCCAGCTCGACCAACAGGGTCTGGTTCGACCAAGGGGCAACGCTGGTCATTTTGGAATGTTTCTCTCTCCCGATTGCTGTTTTTCTTATTTTAATGGAGGCGGTGTCTATTGGCAAACATTCGCGATTTCATAATGGTACTCAGCAAAAGCAAGTGTTGACGGTGTGTTGCAGCCAATTTGTTGTTTTCGCGATGTCCCACAGCAAAAATTACCTAAAATAAATGACATAGAAGCCATTTTAATTCAATTTAACTCAAAATCTCTACAAATTGTAAATTAAAAAAAATCAGCAAAGTTGACTTCCATAAATGATTTGAACTTAAGAGTATCGATTTACGCAAAAACCAAGAAAAAAATATATCAATTTATGTTAACTTGAATACCAACAAAATATACTATATATCGATAAAGTATGGAGAACAAGATATGGTGCTGAAATATGGCCGGGGAGGAAATCTCATGGAATGGATAGCTAAATTGAGATATACAGAGTGTTGAATTTAGAGTGTCCGCACCGCTAGACATGCTCTGATAGCGCAGTTTGCAGTAGGCGGAGCCGGATGTGTATTCATGTACATACATTCTGTAGTGTACGGGGTACACAGCCTTAGCTTATTTCGTGAAATCATTTACACTCCGTACTCCGGTTGGCCTACGACCCTACGTGACGTACCTCCGAGTACTCCGCACGCTACTCCAGTATCAAGGCGTTGTACTGGCGCTAATGTAGGTAGGAGAGTATCCACAGCTAGTTTGTTTTGAGAGTTTGTTGTGTAATCAAGATCGGTGCTAGTTTGTTGTGAGAAAAAAATATTGTTGGCTGACCGTAAAACCAACAAGTGAAAGCTGAATGTACGTAGGAGAGTATCCACAGCTTTAAGAATGCGATCACAAGTTCAGATATCAAGCACAGAGGTACTAAATGGTAAACACTAGACAGTACTCGTAGCACTGCAGAGCAATAATCCCCACCCTGGTCCCGTCCCAATCACCACGGCATAGCCCCCGGCGGGAAGAGCAGTATTACTCCATCCACTGGAAAGGAAATACGTAGTAATTCTAGCATGAAAATATTTCATGCTTTACTCTAAACATAATGCTCACATTTCCTTTGAATATCGGCATCAATTTTATAGAAATTCAGTCAAGTCTAAGAGAATTTGATGTGACTGAGCACCTGTAGAATCTACTGGTGTGAGTCACAATTAAGGAAGCTTGATCGGCGACGTCAATGATGGACGACGACGCCACGACTTGGTCTCGGCTTTTTTTTTAGTTTATTCTCTTTCATAGAACATTATTAAATTAATCGAAACCAGTTGATATACAGTAGTTTTGTGTCTGAACGGGCTGTGCCACACAGGAGGACACGAGAGTCATCAACCTGCAGGCGCGTGGTTTGGGAGGTCATCGTTCAGGGACTACTCCTGTGCTAGGGTGCTGTGTGGCAACAGTGCAGCGAGCAGTGATCCATCACTCCGTCAGATCGACCCCTGCCCGGCTGCCCTTGAATGCATGGGCTCCCATCAGGAACAGGAAGGCATATTCAAGGCTGGGGCATGGAACTCATGACTCGTGCCAGCAGCAGGAGCAGCAGCTCGAGAGATCTCACGGAATCCATGGCCGATCATGTCCTGGCGACTGGCGTCCGTCCTCCTGCGTGATGGCATGAATGCAACTGAAGCTTTTGACTTTTCGGCTTTTGGCCGCAGTGTAATCCAGCGATCTTTTCTTTCTCTCTATCCATCTCGTCAGCGACAGCTATACGCTTTCTTTGACAGGAGCAATCCGTAATTCTCTTTCAGAGTGAGAGAGTAACGGAAAGATACCTGTCGCTCTAGCAAGCTCATTTATTCCTGCGACCATCGCAGGACCTTAACACGCCCATTAATTGCACTTGCGCACCCATTGAAGAAACGGTTTGTTTGGATTGCACATGAACCACTGCGCGGGCTGGCTTCGGTCTCGTTTCCGAAAGGGAAACGTGTTCGGCTTGCTTCTTTGTCCGGCCGAAGCCGCGTTTTTCTCCCACAAAATTCCCGCTGCTACAGTGTTTCCAGCTGCTACAGTAGAAATTTAATGCCAGTCGAGCACATTTCCAGGTACTGCCCTGCCCTGGAGTAGTACAAATCGAGACGTGAAACCAGCACCCACCACCTTTCCATTACAAAATCATCCAGCTTGAGCCTGCATGTACGTACAAACTCTAGTCCGATCCCAGAAACGCGAGCTGCAGTTCTCGTCGATCTCTCGATTACGGTGCTGCCTACTCGTAAATACCCCGCGTACGGTATGTGCGGAACCGAACGCAGGCAAACGTCGTGAAGCCGACGCCGTGGTACTCGCTGCCCGTATCCGCCGGCCGGATACCGTTGTCCAGGCCGATGGCCCACAGCGCGGTGCCCGGACGTACGCCAAACAAACATGCATGTCGTCGTCCTTTGCACGCACGCACCGACGCACGTACAGTATGTAACAAGGACGTACGCTGAATTCCCATTCACCGCAGGCACCAGCTTGTCCGCCCGGCGTCGTTGTTGCAAGGGTCGGCGGCGGCCAGGCGTGACGCCCCTCCGATCCTACCCGCCCTGAAACCGGCCAGTAAGCTAGCAGCTCCATCTCCGCTGTCGTCTCCAACCTCGTTAGTGCTACTACTCCCACGCTGTAGGAGTATATTTGTATGCCCCCGCCGGAGCCGGACAGGACGTACGTGTTCTACGTCCCGTTCGTTTGCTGATTAGTTTCTGGACTGATAAGCCTGGTCGGTGCTGGTTTGTTGTGAGAGAAAAATACTGTTGGCTGACTGATAAGTCCTGACTGAAACCAACAAGCGAACATGCTGCTAATCTTCGATCATATACGGTCATCATACTAGCTACACTACACAAGTGGTAGCGCTGTTGCTTGTCTTCTTTTGTTCCTCCTGCGTCGGCCGTCGCTTGCTTTTATCACGTGGAGCACGTGGTACACGTAACACCAATGCAGCACTGTTTCCCTGTTTCAACGGAACGAACAGTCGAACATACATATACTCCGTAGACGCACTACTAGTCGCCTCCAACTGGCAACTGCTCCCACGGTTGGACTAGTATATCATATCTGTTCAACTTGCGCAGCAAGCATGCAGCAATGGCTGCTGCAAAGAAGATTCATCAATTCCGCGATGGATGCTGCCCGTCCTTGTAGCGCTCACGCAATCAGCAGCACCCTTCCTTTTGTTACGGAGACAGTGTGTTTGTTTGGTTTGGCTTAACAACATACGGTAATCCTCATCCAGATCGAGTGAACGGAACCAAAGATACTACTAGTACTCCTGCCTGTCGCTAGGGCTCGTTAATATCTGCGACCACACGAGGTACAGAATTAAACAAGCCTCATTGATTTCACACCGTTTAAAGTCACGGCTTGGCTTCAATGCGCGAACTGACTTGTTTTCATTTATGAGGAACTTAAGGCCTGTTCCACCCAAAATCTAAAAATTTTTACGCAGTATACATCACATCAAATCTTGCGGCACATGCATGGAGTACTAAATATAGATGAAAAAAAACTAATTACACAGTTGAGTGAGAAATTGCGAGACGAAACTTTCGAACCTAATTAGTCCATAATTAAACACTAATGACCAAATACAAACGAAAGTGCTACGGTGCTCAAAACCAAAAATTTTTGCCAACTAAACAGGCCCTTAATGACCCAACAGTACGTCTCCAGGTCCTAGTACAAAGCAATGAATTGAAAATAGTACTACTACAGCTAGCTGGAGCATAGTAGTAGTACTAGTGTACGGAGTACTGTGTACAGGAGAGTAGTATACGTACTACGTACTTCGCTTACAATTACAGAAGTGTTTTGAGTTAAGCTCATTCTAAATACGCTTATACATTTATTATGAGCTTCTCATCTAGGTGATTTTATTCGTGGGTACCTTGACTGTACATGTTTGTGCATGTAAGCAGTACTTTATATCTATTTTTGGGCTTACAAATCTCAAATGTTTCCAAAAGGCTTCTTTAGAAATTTCAGCTTTGCTATAAAAAAAATGCACGAATACGTGTTAAGAGCTATATTGTGCAAACGTAGTTTATGGTGTATTTAAGGATGAAAACGGTCGAAGACGGTCGAAAACGGTATTACAATATAGAAAACGGAAGTTGTCGGTTCGGGATATTTCTATATTTTAGCAATTAAAGAGTACAAAAAATGGTTGAAAATGGTGGTGAAACCAATTGAAAATGACAAATTTTTATGTTTGGCGAAATTCGAAATTGATATCATAATATAGAAAACGAAAGCGGTTGGTTCGGAATATTTCCGTACCGTTTTCATCCTTAGGTGTATTCAATTCAATGATACTAATTTGGTACTCTAAATCTTGGCAAGTACTCTTTTCTATAAATTTAAATTCAGTTATTACCTTTAGAAACTTTGACTTAAAACAACTCTAGAAAGTGGGTTATTCAGGAACGGAGGTTACTCTAATTCATTTTACTATGTTTGTCTGTACCACACTTCATATCCAGACACGATGAAATACGAGTTCCAAGAAAAAACAATATATTTATATAAGTCAAAAAAGTGATGAAAAAAGGAAAAAAGAAGAGAGGACAAATAAATAGCTGGCCCATAGCCTCAAACTTTTGGAAACAGAAAGAGAATGATTCAAGGAGTCAAGATTTCATTCATACCCATACACTTGCACTCTTGATCATAGTTTGTTTGTATGTTGTTTTCCTCCATAGATCTATGCTTTGACTTTACAATAAAAAACAATCTAAGTATGTCTAGTTACCCTACCCAAAATTACATATAATAAGCTATAGTT